CAGATTAGACCGAGCCAGTTCTGACAGGTACACAATAAAGAGCTGGCAGGGACTTGTGAGCATTTCGGAGAGAAGGGGGAAATTCTGACAGCAGCTTGACCTGGAAGCTGGGACTTTTCTATTTACACTTGACTTCCCCTGTGGATGCATGAGGCAAACTCACCAGGGATGGTGAAGGAAGGGAAGGGGAATATGTCATACACAGGCCCCACCTGCCAAACTCTGGAGAAATAGTGCTGGAAACAGGAGATGGATCTGAGTCCTGCTGCCTCTGTGCTGGCCAAAGGCCACCGAGTCTAACAGACACGTGTCCCTTAATCTGTGAGTCCCAGACTGACTGTGCAAATTGTTTCCAGAGAGTGCCCGGCCTCAGGAGGTCTTTCTATTTGTACTCTTTTTGTGGAAGTCATACTGGAAGGTTTTCTGTCTCTTTGAGTCTGTGGAGGACAGAAATAAGCCAAAGAAGCCCTTGTTTTCCTTAGTATCGGAGGACTTGCCTGGCTTTCATTTGACCCATTCCAAAGAGAATACAATGTCCCAAGACTGGCCCTTTACATACAGAGATTCAAATAATTTGTTTATTGCTTTTTCACTTTATCTTATCATACTTGGGCTATATAAGCCCGTTCTGGGGTAAGCATATAATCCCTTTGGACATACTCCCAGACCCTTCTTGCTACGTCCCTCTTTCTTGGTCCTCCTCGTTGGAGACTCAACTCTTGTTGTGTTTTGGGTGATCAGCAATGCTGTCATGTGGGCACAGATGCTCGGCCTTGATGAAGGCTGAGCTTTACTCAGCAGCTGAACACTCCTGACCTGCTTGTACCCCAGTGAGAGAGAGCTCACTGGAGCAGAATCAGACTCTATTTAGGGAACAGAATGAGCCAGGGACTTTAGTGCAATGCTAAACACTGAGTCACACAGTTTAGTACTGGACTATAGCACAGTAAGTACAAAAACAAAAACACAAGACAAATCAGCTGGAGACATTTACCATGGCTGGACATTGCTGTACCACCCAAAGGCATAGCCCATGAGCTTGGCTCATGGAATAGGGTTTGACTAAGTTGGGTGAATACTAAGCATTTGAATAATTTGCACATGGCATAAGCTATACTGTTAGTCATGAGCATTGTGAATATGTATTGTTCAGAAACAGAAAAATTCTACCCAGCACCCCAACAGTATGAGAAATACTCTAGCCCATTAAAACCTCTGAGTAGTGTAGGAAAGGAAACCTGTTCACCACTGGGGATGTCAGTGTTTCCCAAACTCATTTAGCTATGAGAACTTTTGGGGGTAGGGACTAGGACAACACCAGCATGACAAGAACTGATGTACCTTAAAACACACTTTGGACACTATAACTGGTGGCATGAGAAGGTGGATGTTATCCCCAGATCCAGCATCACTCAATGTTTTCCAAGCCCAGGTCTCACTAAGATAAGTGAATCTGGGCCTTAGTTATCTACTTTGTTCGGATTAACTGGAATAATTGAACAACTGCTCCTGATCTCCTGGTGCCATCGGCGACCTTTTTCCTACTCCCTGGAGCCTACCTCTTACCCAGGATGGGCTTCCAGCACCATCAGCCCATTATCTAGTGCCTCCTGTTTTAATTAAATTATAAAATGGCTCACCCAAGGTAACAACAGCACAACAAGGCTGGGTAAGTTGGTCACTAAGGGAGAGTTACTAACTCCTTCATGCCACAAGGGGCCCATTTACTACACCTCAGAGCTGGACCAGGGCACCCGGGATCCAGGAGTTGGGTAACTTTTAATGCTTCTCTCTCAGTCTTTTGTACATTATAAACAAACTTTTATTTACTGACTTTAAGCTCTAGTGGTTATATTTGCTGCCTTGAGAACCAAGGAAATATGACTGCATTAATCTCTCTTTGTAGTAACAAGCACGCCAGGAATGATGGCACACACTTTTAGTCCCAGCACTTGGAAGGCAGAGGCAAGTAAATCTCTGTGATTTAAGGCCAGCCTGGTCTACCTAGTGAGTTCCAGGACAGTCGGGGCTATGTAGAGAGACTTTGGCTCAAAACAAAACAAATGAACAAACAAAAAAACAATCAAACAACAACAGAAAAAAATCATGCAGATAAATGCTCAACAGCTGGCAAACTGCAGGGTTGGGTGGAAAGTGTGATGCACAAGGCTTGCCCTTTTAAAATTAAGATTAAAATGAGTTGTTATTTAATTTCATGCATCAAATCACACAAATACACCTGTATCATCAGGTACAGCAAGTCAGAAGCTGTAACTTAAATGATAACTATTTCAGGGGAAAGTTCCTTGTTTATTTAGTCTTTGACTATATATAATTGGATAATAGGATATCAATTATCAAAATGCTAGATGAAAACTGTTTAAAACATTCATTATGTATCTTTATATTAAGTTATATCTAAAAGTGTTAGTGAAAACTGTTTAAAACATTCATTATGCATCTTTACATTAAATTATATCTAAAAAATACTGTGGATTTTTAAAAAATATATTTTTATTAGTTCAAATTAGGAACAAGCTTGCTTCACATGTCAATCCCTTCTCCCTCTCTCTCCTCTGCCCCAAACCCTCCCCCCAACTCCCCACCAGCCCCTACTCCATCCCTCCTCGGGTCCCCTGTGTAAATATTCCTACTATGGGTCATTTCTGATTGCTATCATAACCTCACCAACTTCCAAGTTCCAATGAGATCTCAGGAATCAGTGTCCATCAAACCAGCATCAGAGGTTGCTTTGTGTCTCTGCACAATGTGGTAGCCTGATTTGTTGAGCCACATCTGAACAGGAAAAGACTCAGAGATATTCAAATCTGAACAGCCCCACTTGACAGCTGAAGCAACAGGCTCAGAAAGGACAGTGACTTGTTTTAGATACCCCGACATGCACACAACAAAAGGGGCTTGTTTTTTTTTTTTTATCTATTTGATGCCTTTATTCCAACGTTGTGGTCCTCTTTCATTCTCAAAATAGGCAAAAAAAAAAAGAGACAAAAATCATTGTAACTGCTTGATAGAAGAGGAAACTGATAAAACATGCTAAGAACTATTCAAATTAAAAAAGCTAAGAAATATACCTGGATCTGTATGGCTTCTAGATCCTTCTATTCCATTGGAACCTCTCCCATCCTCATTTCTTCCAGCTAAGGTGCACCACCAATGAGATCTGTTCCCATTCAGCTTCTCAGCTGTTTAATATTCTTGACTAGTGAAACACACATATTGGGGAGTTTCTGGATCAGTTTCTGTCACTTGTTTTCTCCATCCTAAGTTTTGCCCGTAGCTGGCTTTAAAGATGCCAGCTCTCTGGAACCAGCATGAAGCCAAACTAAGTCTGTAGCTTTAGTTTGGAAACACATTGGGCTACTATTATGTATTTAGAGTTTAGGAAGCAAGTATAGAGGGAAGAAGTGAAGGAAAGACAAGGCCTGACTATCTTTAAATAAATTCCCCAAATCTGAACATATCACTTCATTAATGTACCATTAGGGATAAAAAGATCACATAGCTATGCTAGCAGCAAGGGAAATGCAGTTTTTAGGTGAACAGCTATATTCTTAGAAAACTTTTGAGGGTTCTGCTGAAAAAACAGACATGATATTGAGAAATAATTCACAACTTCTGTTATGCTATATGAAATGCCTGAGATTTAGGAAGGGGTAAATATGGGAAAGAGGAAAGAAAAGTTGTGTAATGTATAGGCAACTACATGATTTATGACAAGGTAGTGCCAGGAGAATTACAGTCAACCAGTACCCTAATCAGCATCATTTAAGAGGTTTCTGTTGATAACTTTGAAACTCTTATTTTTAATGGAATATTCAGAGGGTTTTCTTATGTTCATATAGAAGCCCACACTCCCGGATATCTCCAAGTCAAGCTGATGGTGATGTTCTGTGATGATTACCAGGCAGGGAACTTGGTGCATTAGTATAAATTGGATGAACTAATAATAGTTGAGGCATGGATATAACTGTTAAATCTCTCTACTGGGCCACATGGCTTTGCATCTTAGGACCATATCTTCCCCAACAACTACTACTATCCATCTTCAAAAAGTCTACAGCTCAAGGACTGGAAATGGGCCTGTGGAACACAAACTTTTAAAAAGAGAAAGAAAAACTTTCTCCTATCTAGACAAAACATTCACCATATGGATTTCACCAAACATGACTCAAGTATCCCTTCTTCCTCCAGAGCCCTTAGATTTGGCCTGTTCTTGAACACTGGAACTTGAGACAATCTTCTTAAAGTCTCTTCCAGAGAATTGGCTGATCACAGGAGGGAAAAACACCTGTTCCATGGCACTACCCCTTTATTCTGATGTCTCACCTCCAGTTCCTGATAACTTTAATAATTCCTTCTATAAAAACAGATTCCTTTGTACCTGACCTTAAAGCCACTTGCGGATCTCATGGTCCAATCATTCTCCATGGCAGTAATCAGTTTCTGGTATTACCATAATCTTTTCAATAAATCCTTTTTACCAAGGCCAACATTTGTCTTTTCTTGTTGCTTTTGACACCCCTTACCTTAGTACTCTGGACCATTGTCCTTGATTTTGGACTCGCAGCCCTCTCTCTACTCTCTGCCTAACTTCCTTTACCACAGTTACTGGATCTCATACCCATCTTTTCTTTTCTACCATTTAACATTTGCAATGTTTTCAGAGAGTTCTTGTCAAAACAATTAAAAACAACTCTCATTAGAATAGTCAACAAATAGTCCCTTGCGTAATAAGACCATTGAAGCATCGCTCCAAAAGGAAGTATGAGAGCAAACAATCCTCTCTCTCTCTCGCATGGTCACAAAGAACCCAAGCTTCACCAATCCACTCAGGTTCCCTTGGTAAATACTCGTCATTGGAGTGATCTATGTACGTGAGCTCTGGGAGTCACATGGTGGTGCCCAGGCCAGAAGGACCTAGAGGAAGAAAGTCAGTTCTCTCAAATGTCACCCTCTTCTCACTAGGGGTAAAGTCTTACCAGAAAGTCCCTTGAGCTCTCTCTTCATATCTTATTAGCCAGAGCAGGAGAACTACATGGCCACATCTGTGGCAGAAGAAGTTGGAAAGGTTAAGTTGGAAATTTGTGTCTCTTGTAGGTGATGAACTCTGCTGGTGGAGAAGAGAGGAAAATGTCTTAGTTAGGGTTTCTATTGCTATGGTAAAACGTCATGGTCATAAGCAACTTGGAGTGGAGGTATTTTAGCTTACACTTCCATATCACAGTTGTCTTCATTACTTTTCAATTGCTGTGACAAAGCACCATGACCAAGGCGACCTATAAAAGAAAGCATTTAATTTCGGCCTCACACTTCCAGAGAGTAGAATGAGGACATCTTTCCTTTCTGTGATGGTTCATTTTATGTCAACTTGACACAAGTTAGAGTCATCTAGGAACAGGGAATGTAAACTGGGAAAAATGCCCTCACTAGATTGACCTGTGGGTAGGCCTGTGGAGCATTTTCTTTATTGATGATTGATATGGGAGGGCCCAGCTCACTGTCAACAGTGCTATTCCTGGGATAGTAGTCCTGGGAGCTATTAGAAGAGAAAGTGTTTTAGATACGGTTTCTATTTCTGGGATAAAACACTATGGCCATAAGCAACTTGGTGAGGAAAGGTTTTATTTTGGCTTACTGTTGCATATCATAGTTATCTTAGTTCCATTTCTATTGCTTGGGAGAGTCTATAGAGAGCACAGCCCCCTGTGATAATGAGAAAAGATACAGAATAATCTAAGGGAGGTCATCCTAGAAGAAAAAGTTGGACAATGTTTGTGATCAGTGAGACAAGCAGTACCCAGGGCACATAAACACAGAACAGAGTGCGTCTGAGGTTCCTCAACTGTGGGGTGACATGAGGCATTTTCCTTGTGTGTTGGGAGTGTAGCTTCTCAGGAATCCTAAGCTTGTTTATCCTTGCTACCTCCCATGAGTGACAAGGTCTGACTTGTTCTATCATGCTGAACTCATGCAGTTGAGAGGAAACTTTTACAACAATATGAATGTGTCCGTAGAACAGTAGCAGAGAAAAGCAAATGGACATACTACCTGAAATGTAGGATATCACAATGGGTAAGAAATGAGGTTTGTCAAGTGAATTTGGGGTAAAGAAGAAGAGGGAACAACAGTGAACAAGAAGAACTGTACCTTCCTTAATTGTGTGGAAACTATGAGAAGTGGGTGTTGCCACTTGTGTTCTGGGGGCTTCTTTTACATCATGCCCTGATTTCTACTAATGACCTTAATATTCCTTGTCACTCACATTCTCCAGTGCTGGCTCTGGAGACATTTATAGGACCATAGCTCAGTGATAAATGGTGGGTGTGTAAGGTCCTGGGTTCCATCCACAGCTCCACAAAATAACCAATTTAATTGGTGCAGATCATTTGGCAAACACATTGGCACTATCAAGATGAACACATGTAGCGCAGGAAAGTCAGTAACTCCACAGACTGTGTTTACATTGGGGAACTTACACAGTGCAGCAATGTGTGTACTCAACAATGTTCCCTGCAGCACTGCTCGCTGTGCTGGAACAATCCAAATTCCCATCAGAAATAGAATGAATAGATACTAATACACTCATGCATGGCAGACTCAAGTAGGAACAGCATGGAATAAACCACAACATGAATAAATCTGAACAAATCACTAAAACACCCTGTTGAAGAAGTGAGTCACAGAAGAGCACCCTTCCACAAACCTCCAAAACATGCAAAGCTAAATACACATATGTATGCATATGTGTTTTACAGAGACCCACATATACATGCTGGGCAGCCTTAATGTGAAAATACAGAGCCCAAAATGCTTCCAAATCTGATTTTTTTCAAATATTGGCATGCCAGAATGTACAAGTGAAAATTCTATCCTTGAATTTTTTATTTTTATAGGAGAATTATTATTATAATAAATATATTTACAAAATAAACATGTTCCCCCTAAGCTGAGTCCAGAAACTCCTTGTACTGGGATGGAAGGTCATGATGAGAGATGAGGGATGTTGCTCACCATGTGATGTCCATTTGGGCCTTGTGGGTCAGTATATCTTATTCATTTCTGTACCCATTCTTGCAGCCCTGGCATACAGTAAGTACTCAATAAAGGTTTTCCAACCTGCCATTAATTACTTGTGAAAATAATTGATAGCTAGTGTCTGCAGGCACCTCCACATGGTCCTACGGGGATCAGCTGCAACTTTGTCCATCTTTCCAGGGAATCTGGCACCATGAACTCACCGACTTCATGGATTATTTGTTAAATAATTGGTAGCTTGTGACTCTGAAGATTACTGGCAAATGAAAATTGAACTAGGACCGAATTGGCTACAATAAGGCAATAAAAGGACTTCCTAGTCAATGAACTCAAGGGAGTGAGAATACAATTCTGATGTCTAGAATGGGAAGAACTTCCTTGTGGCTGTGATCTTCTGACTTTGATGACGTTATCACCATCAGTTGCTAAGGAGCCCTATCAGCACCCTTAAATTACATCTGTGTCAAATGCATCCTCCATCTGAAGTCTCAGCCCCACCCCTTACATCCTTAAAACTTAGGATTGCCAGGCGTTGGTGGCGCATGCCTTTAATCCCAGCACTCGGGAGGCAGAGGCAGGTGGATCTTTGTGAGTTCGAGGCCAGCCTGGTCTCCAGAGCGAGTGCTGGGATAGGCTCCAAAACTACACAGAGAAAACCCTGTCTCAAAAAACCAAAAAAAAAAAAAAAAAAAAAAAAAAAAAAAAAAAAAAGACTTAGGATCAAGGTATCTTGTTACAGAAGGAGCATGGGGTGGGGCACCAGGGCCCATGGTAGCCACTAATTTGCCTCGTGGTTCTGTGTGAGCCAGTTGCCTGCCTCTGGTGTACCATTTTGCTTGCAGTAAGAGGACTGGCTAGGTTCTCCCAAGTCCCTCCCACACCCTAACATTCTGCAGACTCCTATTTCTCATGCTTGTCTCTTAGGCAGGATAAGACAGAATAAATATTTATCTTCAGGTTGCACTGCAAGTGGTTCTTCTGTACAATGAACTTGAGCTTTTCTTATCACTTGGGCGAGGACAGCTTAATTGGAGCCTACTTAAAAACTCCCTGTTTCTGTGTTCTAACGGTATCCCTAAGCATTGCTGCAAATAATGGGAAATTCTAAATCCTTTTAAGATTTGTTTCAATACTAATGAAAATGTGCCATCCTCAAATTTGGTAAACTGGACAAAAGTTATGAATGATTTGAATGGACTAGACTGACTTGCAGAATAGGGCTGTGTCTTTCGAGGTTTTACATTCTTGATTTCTACCACTGTGGTTGGCATGCAATGAGCTATCTTTTCAGTCAACAGCCATGTAGAGTACCTACTGTATGCAGGCAACTCTGCAGAGCTCTCTCTACAAATAGTGGGTCCATAGTGCTCTGGGCTGTCAAGTAGGGAACAGATGAGGGAGTAGGCCAGTGTGTTAGTGGTGTGGCTGTGATGGGAGGAGTAAGAAGAGAAGGAGAAGGAGAGAGCAGCCTGCCATTGTTGGGAGGGAGAGGGGGTGTCAGGGGAAATGTTGTGCTGCTAGCTAGCATCCAAAGACACCTAAAACTTTGCAAACACTACCCCAGCAAGCAGTGTAACCTTCCTGGAGACCATTTCTCCCCCAGTCTCATTGAAACAGGGAGAGACAGAGAGATAAAAGAAGCAAGACAAGCAGAAGGCAGACCAAAAGGGGCCTGGCTATAAAGACCCACCTTAAGGGCAATGGGCAATCAGCCAAAGGGTTTTACGCAGGGAATGGATACATGTGCACTGATTAATAAATGCTGGTGTACAGTTACTCATGGAAATTTCCTCTGCTAAAAACACAGGGGTTGGCCTAAATGATCACCAAGAACCCCATCTAGCTCTGACATCCTGAGAATCTCTGTGTTGCCATACGATTCGGGTCAAGGTCTCTTGATTTTTGCCTTCTCCTCCGAACAGAATAATGGAATCAGCAGCACACGTGTTCCCCTTCTCGCCCTCTGTGAGATGGACAAGCCTGTTCCATTTCAGAGGGTGAGACGGCGTCCTCTGTGACCAGCCTCTCTCCTATCCATCTATCAGCCGATTAACGATGGCTGAAAGCCACTTATCGGGAGAGCTCCTGCCCTTATCACTGTCACTGGCTGCAAATAAACACTGACTTTATGCCGAGTTTCCATATTTAACCACATTTAAGTCATTGCTGATACTTTCATTACATGACATTTGCACTTCAGAATTTAAAATGAGACACGCACTCGAAGCTTCTCCGCCAAACAGGAGCACTCAGGTTGGGTGGGGGCCTTCCTGCCGTTTGTCTGCAAGAAAAGGAAGCTTCAAAGTAAATTCTGCAAACAGGAATTTCTTGTGCTCTGAAAAGGGTATGGGTAAGAATCGGGTGAGGACAGAGTCGTTTTGATTTTAAAAGGTCACTGCCTCATGTCAAAGCTGTAATGCATCAATAATAGATGAGATGCATAAATGATATATCAAAAGCAAAAATTCCAGCCTTGTGAAGAGAGGAGAAATCTTGCTTTTTGAGATAGACTTTTAATATAAGAAGCTTAGTATATCATTCGAGCCCTTGACTTGGTGGTAGATAATGAGGCTCAGGGCCAAGCATTGAAGAAGCACACATAAAAGGGCTGGGAGGGACAGGGTGTAAATTCTAGGTCTCTGGACTTTAAAAGACAAAGGTACATTTACCCCTTTGCAAAGAAAATACTTCCATAGGATTGCAAAGGGTTTAAAAAACATGAGGCACATGGACTGGTGGACTGCCTCCCCAGGTACACGTGCTTGCCATGCAAGCCTGACCACCTGAGTTCAGGCCACAAAACCCGTACAGTAAAAGCCAGATGTGATGGCATACAGTCCTACTGCATGGTGAGAGGCAAGAACAGGAGATTTGGATGAAGTCTATGGGTCAGTTGGCCTGGAGTATGATTCATGGTAGAAACAAGAGAGACTCTGCCTCAAAAACAAGATATAGAAAAGAATCAACTCCTAAAAGTACATGTACATGTACATTATACCATGATTGTGTGCATGCATGTGCAGGTGTGTGTGTGGGCACCCATACACACACACACACACACACACACACACACACACACACACACTGATATAATAAATCATATCTTTAGTTTTTAGGTGAGTTGCTGGTGTTCATAACATCTTCCCATCATGCACTGCTTCTCTTGTATTCCCAGCCTGCTTCATTTCTTCCTCCCTTCCTCCTCTCTCCCTTCTTTTCTTTTTGTTACTGGGGTTTGAAATCAGGGCCTTGAACATTCTGGGCAAATATCCTATCACTGAGCTACATCCCAGTCCCTTTTTATTTTAGTTTGTTTTAAGCTTTGTTTTGTTTATTACTAGTAGGAGGGTGGCTGTAGGGGAAGCTGTAGCCACGCCTTCTTAGGGGCTGGCTACAGGAGTACCTGAGGGTTTGTGAGGGTGTGGTCAGAGTGAGTAGGGGGACTGTGTTTTGGTTTCGGTTTTTCTTTTTGCTTCTTGCTGTACAGACTACCACCGGCTGGCTGGTTCGCTCTGTAAGTAAGGCTTTTCCCTATTAAATACCCTTATATTTCTACCTGACTCCGTATTGGTAATTACCTACTATAGGTGGCACTGTGCCACAGCATATGTGTGGAGGCCAGAGGAAATTTTACCAAGTCAGATCTCTCCAGCTACCTTTACCTGGGATCCAGGCATTGAACTCAGGCCAGCAGTCTTGGGCACAAGCTCCTTTACCCGCTGAGCCCATTTGCCAGCCCTTTGTCTTTTATTGTGAGACAAGATCTCACTAAAATCTCCCAGGCTAGCCTTGGACCCACTTTGTAACCCAGGAAGTCTTTATACTTTGCAATCCTCCTGCCTCAGCCTCCCAGTAGCTGTGGTTACAGATTTGCACTACCAAGCCTGGTTCCTTTTTTATTCTCATTGGCTAGAACATTTTTATATATAGTAAGTGCTCAATGAGTATGGTTTATAGGACTAAAAAGAATAAGTAACAATTATTTAATGTTTTTAAATGTTTGCCATTTGCTAAAGAAACATGCTAAGTAATCTGCACGCATTATCTGATAAAATCATCACAGATAGCCTTGACCTGTACATTATTAGTAATCTTATTTTACTAGTGAAGAAACCAAGCCCTACAGAAAAAATAATAACTTGGCATGGGTATCTGTCTAATGGTTCTGGTAAAGGAGGGAATCTGGCTTTTCTTGGGCTAAGTCATAACAAGGCAATGACTTGTTATTGGCTCCTTTGGCCCCGCCAGTGAATGAGTTCAGAGGTGAATATTAATGGCTTTGAGGGATAAGTCCCTCAAGATAAAAATCACTGAGAGAACGTTTCCTATTACATAGAAATAGAGCACAACTATGATGCTCTTTCCCAGGTCATTCATTTAACACTAAGAAAGTATCGTGAATGTGGTTAAATAGTCAAGCACAGTGCATGCCTGTATCCCCCAGCAACTCAGGAAGCTGAAGCAGCAGGATCATGACTTCAAGGCCAACCTGAGAAGCTGTCTCAAAGAACAAAACAAGACAGGAATAGGGGTTTGGTTCATCATTAGAACACTTGCCTAGCATGGGCAAAAGCCTGGGTTTGATCCACAGCATTGAAAAAATAATTTCTAATCTGCCCTACCCAACGATACAATAGGACTTCTGTGGCAGGCTAGAAGATGCCTTCTTATGGCCAAGTGAAATAAAGAGCCAAAATAAGAAAAGAAAAAGAAAAGGAGTGGGGATCATGAGAAGAGACATTATTCCAATAAAAGAACACCTAACAATGAAGGGGGAAAGACAGTCCATATGCCATAAAGGAGGAGGCTGATGGGTACTATGAGGGGATTGCTTTCTGTTTCCTTTTCAGTAGCTTGTTAATGGTAGATATGATGATTGCTGATTTCTGTGTGTTAATTTTGTAGCCTGCTGCCTTGCAATTTATGTTCATCACTCTAAGAAGTTTTTGGTGGCATCTTTAGGATCTCTTAAGGGTAGACTCCTGTCATCTACAAACAGGGATACTTTGACTTCTTCTCTTCCTATTTGAAGACCTTTAATTCTCTTCTCGTGTCTTATTGCTTTTTCTAAGACATCAAGCACTATTAAATAGGAGTAGAGTGGATACCCTTGTCCTACTCCTGTTCTTGGGAATGCTTTGAGCTTTTTTCATTTAATGACTGATTTGTCATATATATCTTTTATTATGTTGAGTTGTGATCCATCAACCACTGGCCTTTCCATGACTTTCAACATGGGATATTGGATTTCTGGGTCACTAGAGATGATCATGTGATTTCTGTCCTTGCAAATTTACGTGATAAAGTAAGCAGTTAAGAGTGTTTTTCTGCTTTTTCAGAGCACTGGAGTTCAGTTCTCAGCACCCACATTAAGCAGCTTACAGCCACCTATAACTTCACTTCCTGTGGAGTTAGTGACTCTTTGGGCCTCTACTGTCACTTGTATGAACATGAGCATACAAACACAAGTATTTACATAACTAAATAAAATAAACCTAGAAATATCTTTTTTTACACCCATCAAGCCCTATGTATGCTGCCCATATATTCTTGGATGTGTGGCCTTCCACTGGATGGTCAACTTACTAGGGACTAGAGAAAACTGATTCTCTGTCTCCCAGAAGTATCAATTGCCAATAGCTCCTTGGCTAGGGGTCGGATTTTGTATCCACCTCCCTTCTCCATATTGGGATTTTTACCTGTTTTAAGCTTTTATGAGGCTGGTACATGCTGTTACACACACTGTGAGTTCATATATACAGCTGATTTGATGTCTGAAAGATACTGTTTCCTTGTAGACACCCACCACTTCTAGTTCTTACACTCTTCATTTTCTCTTTTCCAACGATCCCTGAGCCTTGGATGGAGAGAATGTGATATAAATGTCCCATTTAGGGCTGAGAATTCCACAGGTCCTTATTCTCTGTACCTTGATCAGCTGAGGGTCTCTGGGTCAATCACCATATCCTACAAAGTGATGCTTCTCTGATGAGGTTTGAGAGATACATCAATCTATGGATATAAAATAAATCATTAGGAGTTAGTCCAATACTATGTTCATTTAGCAAAATAATAGTAGATTCTACCCTAGGGTCTATGACCTATTTAGTCATAGGCTCTTAGCCCAGTAATGGTGCCACTTACATATTTTATCTTGTAGCGTAGCACTTGAATCTAACCAGAAAGTAATTGGTTATTTCCATGATGCTGATGCCACTATTGTACCAGTAGGCACATCCTGCCAAACCAGTTGTTATTGTTACTCAATGGGTTCACAGCTGGATAAAATGAATGAATACTTTTCTCCTCCAGTAGTGGGTATAGCACCTTCCAGCACTATAAAAGCTAGGCAATAGAGATGAAGTTTACAGGTCAGTACCAGCTTGACACAAATCTGTGGTGTCTTCAGGAATAGGGTCATACTTTCAAGCTCTAGGAAGTAACCAATAGGATAATAACTTGCAATGTTTGAGAGATCTATAGAACCTCACAGTCCAACAGCTGCAAAAGAAGTAACCCATTCCTGGCACTGAAAGTTTTATTTGTTGTCTATGATATTTAGCAGGGACACTGTTATTCCATTACAGACAGAGTAACTACATTTTCACAATTTGTGTGTGTGTGTGTGTGTGTGTGTGTGTGTGTGTGTAAGCTTCTACAGTAGTAGGTAGGTTTCCTATGATCTTTCTAAAGGTCTTTAATGTTATTTATCCCTATGTATCCCCTCCTCTACCCTGACCTCCCATACCCCCCCAAATTTAACCCTCCCTGTTCCATTATTCCCCTTTAAGCCTTTATACTATTACATTCTATCTCTCTCCCTTGAAAGCTCCTCCTCCCCCACTATGCCTACTTACTAATAAACATTCTTCTTCTATTTTTATGGAACAGTTTGAGCAGTATTAGCCTTAGTTCTTTTTTGATGTTATGGAAGGTGTTAGGTTCAAAACAGCCCCCCCCCAAATGGCAGCACTACTTATAATGTCCTACATGACAGTCTGGGATTGGCTCAGTATACATTCATGATAGCTGTCAGGTAAACCAAACCTAAATTCAGCATTCCACAGAAATCTCCTGAGGCAGGTTTCTGTCCTTCAGGAACACTATTACTTCCTTTATCTGCCCCCAACAGTCAACTATCTTAGGCAATGGCCATCTAGTTCCTGAATAACCAAGCCTATAATATACATCAAAGCCTTCACACCAGCCCCTAAGCTGTTCTGGCCTTCATCACACTGCTGTAACTCCCAGGCTGTTTGGGCTTGAGCACCTCTTTTCCAACTAGTACCTGTCCCCATAAAACTGAAAAAGCTCTTTATTCGATTAGCTGTCTTCTACCCACTGAGGCAGCCAGGCAGTTTGATTTCCCAATAAACCTTTCTTTCTATCCATGAAGTAGTCTTGATCAGTGGTATCACTGTGCCCTCACTTATAGAAGTATTTTACAGTGAACCTAACTGGTCCTGGGAATAAATCTCACCAAAGAAATGAAATATCTTTATGGTGAAAACTTTGAAACACTGAAGAAAGAAATTGAGGAAGACACCTGAAGATGAAAAACCTCCCATGCTCATGGATCTGAAGAATTAAAGTTGGGAAAACGGTCAGCTTATCAAAGGCAAGCTACAGATTCAATACTATCCTAATCATTTTCAACTTGCAATAAATCTTCAGGCAATTTTATCAAATTTTTTTAAAAAATTTAAAGATTTGTTTCTAACACCGGCTTTAATCTTTTTTAAAAAATTTTCTTTTTCATGGTCTTGTGCTTGCAAGTACTCTACCACTGAGTTATATCCCCAGATCTTTGGTGTTTCCAAGCAGGGTCTCACTATGTAACCAAGGCTTAAAATCACCATCCTCCTGCCTCAGCCTCCTGTGTGTTGGGATGACAGCCACATGTCATTTCATCAATCCTAGTTTGATCCTCTGTTGCTATGACAAACACCATGATCAAAAGCAATGGGGGGAGGAAGAGGTTTATTTGGCTTACAGGTACAGCTCACAATTGACAGAAGCCAAGGCAAGAACTTGAGAAAGAAACCTGGAGACAGGAACTGAAGCTGCTTACTGGCTTGCTCCCTGCAGCTTGCTTGGCTACCTTTCTTCCACAGCCCAGGTTCACCTGCCAAGGCATGGTACTGCTTACAGTGGGCTGGGTCTTCCCACATCAACCAGGAAACTGTCCCACAGACAGGTCAATAAGCCAATCTGATAGACACAATTCCTCAGCTGAGATTCCTTCTTCTTGGGTATATTTAGGTTTGTGACAAGTTGATAAAAAACTGTGGCATTGCCCATTTTTTAAATTAACGGACTTCCTGTCACCCATTTCTGCTCTGAAGAGCAAATGATATTGAAAAGAAGCTGGTCATGTGCCTCAGTTGGCAGAGTGTTTGCCTGGCATGCAGGAAACCCTGGGTTTAACCCACACAAACTGGGCATGGCCTCATCAGAAATCCCAGCACTCTGGAGGCAGAGGCAGGAAAATCAGAAGTCGGAAGTCAGCAACTATATGCTAGGCAAGTGCCCCAGCGCTGAGCTGCATCCTGCAGTTCTTAGGCCTCCCCCCAGTTCTTATGCATTTCTCTATTTGTTAGCCACTCTCTAGTCACACAAGCCAGCTTCCCTTTTGTCCCTTCATGATGAGATCACTTCTGTACTGAGATCCATGAGCTGGCTGCCTGCTTTGCCTCGAAAACCTGTCTTCTGGTCTCTGACACAATGGTGTCATCTAGCATTCACCTCTTAGGCAAAGTGTGCCCCATGCAAAGACGCCCCTCCTTGTGTGTTAAATCTTTCTACTTTATTTCTTTAATAGTAGGCATCACTAATTGAACCTGTATTATTTATGTGGATGATTTGCTTAATAATGTAACACCTGTCTCTCTCCATTAGGATTCCAGCTCCTTAGTGGTAGGAACTAGCTGTCCATTCCCAACTCTGCCCTAGCACAGAATGGGCTTGATGTCACTAAGTACATAGCCAGTCAAATGAGTGAGTTCAGAGCTTACTATGATCAGAAAGGAGTCAGTCGAGTGACAATAATGACAACAACAGTAACGACAGAAGAGGCAGCTCCTAGTTAATGAAGTCTACTTCCAGGCCAGGCATAAAGCTAGCACTGAAAACACAACATCTCAAGGGTTTTTAAAGCTAGACTTCACATAAGCCCACTTGATGGCTGCAAACACTGAGATCATGCATATCACACAGCTAAGAAGCAGGAATGGAGCCATGAATGCAAGCCTCAGAGAGCTTATCACATAAACTCCCAAGCTCACATTGCCTTTCCTTGCTCTACCTCTCAGGTTAGGAAACAACCCAATGAAGCCTGTAAGACTAATCAACGTTTCCCAAGACCATACTACCAGTATGTGGCAGTGAAGACTATCACACTCTTCTCGGTTCTTCTGACTGTATCTGCTGGCCTTGCTAAAATTTGAAGGCTTGTAATCTGCATGATTTGTTCTCGATGGTTTCTTCCCTTGGCCCAAGAACACTCAGGACAGAACCAGGCACTCAGGGTAACTGACATCCATTGAAAGGACAAGCATTCAGTCACCAATTCAGCACAGTGACTTTGGTCAGTGTTCCATAGTCTCATGCTGTAGGATAAACGGAACACAGAAATTTATTAGGATATTCAGGTGACTTTAAAATAACTATTATTCAAGTAGGAGCACAAATAACTACTCTCTGTGTTGGAGAGATTTAAACACCAGCAAAGATCCCGGTGTGGGAAATTAGGTTATGCAAATACTTTGCAAGGCTGCCAGAGAAGCTCTCTTCGTTTGATGGGATTTATTATCGATTTATACCTATTTTCTTTCATGTGCTCTATTTTACATTTCTGCTGCATTTCAGTTGAATAGGCCAACCAGACAATCTTCAGTACAAACATTACAGACAAATTAGGGCTAGCAGAAAAGCTGTTTTGTGGTTGGTTTTGTTGTTTTTTTTTTTTTTTTCCTCCAATAGTGAAGCTTAAGTGCCTCAGCAAATTACAGCCCAGCCAGCCAGAACAGCAATGAGCCATCCCAACTGTAAATAAACATATGCATGGCCTGAGGACAGCCAGGGTGCATCTAGACATTTCAGGCAATCCATCATATCCCTCAAAAGGTTAAACCAGAAGGCAGGTTGCATGGGAATAATGTCCCCAGCACCCAGGATGCCAGCAGCTTTGGAATTGTTAAATAGAGGATAAATATTAGCTAAATGAAGAAGTAGGTTTGATTTTCTAGAAATGACTTCAGTGGTGGCCTGTTTAACTTGATGCTGACTGTTATATGATTCCTATACGGGGCCAGGAGGCCTCAGCTCCTTCCTGCCTTCCTTCTCCCCTTTTTATTTCCATTTTCTTCTTTTGTATCAGGGCCTCACTATGTAGCCCAGGCTAGTCTCAAATTCAAGTTTTTCCTGCAAGAAGTATGGAAGTGAACCATCATAGATTGAAGGAAGGAGCTGAGGCCTCCTGGCCCCGTATAGGAATCATATAACAGTCAGCATCAAGTTAAACAGGCCACCACTGAAGTCATTTCTAGAAAATCAAACTTACTTCTTCATTTAGCTAATATTTATCCTCTATTTAACAATTCCAAAGCTGCTGGCATCCTGGGTGTGTGTGTGTGTACATGTGTGCCTATGCATGGGTACTCATGTTTGAGCATCTGAGTGTGAAGGCCAAAGAACCATCTCAGGGGTATTATTCCTCAGGTGAGGCCCCCAACAAATACCTTTTGTTTCTTTGTTTGTTTTAAGACAAATTCTCTTACTGGCCTAGAACTCACCAAGCAACCTAGATTGGCTGGCTATTGAGTTTTAGAGATCCCTCTATTTCTGCCTCCCTAGTACTGGGATTTCAAGTGTGCACCACCATGCTTTTTTTTTTTTTTTAAAGAAAGTGGATTCTGGAGATGAAACTACAATCTTTGTCCTTGTAAATGGGGCACTGTGGTGACCCAGCTATCTCCTCAGCCCCTCAGCCCCTTCCTTTTTTTAACAGCAGTAGCACCGTATTTAAGAGTCACACCCTCTAGAAAGGGCCCCTGAGAATATCCTAAAAGAAAGTGCTTTTTAATGGATACACTATTTTGGTTTGGCTGTGATTCAAGCCCCCCTCTACAGGTAATACTCGCCTCATTCTCTTTGGTGACTTTCTCACCCTGGGTTAAACTGAGATGACTTGTGGCTGGCTCTAGAGGAAAACACACCATAATATCCTGCAGCCAGTCACATGACTCAAATTGGGCTAATTAGAATCAATAAATATAAATACTGGAATCTTTCTGGAAGTAGTAGGAAAGAGGTATGTTGCTGAGAAGATATAAAAAAAATATTCTGGCATTTTCCTATGAGAAAAGGGGAGAACCCCCTCCAATCATGCAGCCAGCAGAAAATAAAGAGTGAAAGGCTAGGAAGCAAACAGCCTGTACTTGGATGGACATGACCACTGAGTTTTAATCACATCAGACAATAAATAATTCCTTACATTTAAATGTACTTAATTTAGGAATCAAATATTATTTATATATACTGCCTAAATAAATCCTTTTAGGTGTGTGAGAATATTTTATATACCACCTCACAGACTGGAAAATCAGTTTCACCTGAGCTTGGTGACATATACCACAGGTGTATTCTAGCACTTAGGAGCCAGAGGCAGGAGGATCTGGAGGAGTTCATAGCTAACCTGGGTTATGGAAAACCCTGCGAAAGAAAGGGGGAGAGCAATGAGGAGAGGGAAGGAGGGAGGATTGAAGGGAAAGGAAGAGAGAAAAGAACAAAAAATTAGTTTGTCAAGGTGCTATCCTTCAGTGTCTTAATGTTCCTAGATTCATAGGTGCAGAAAGGAAGGAAGGAAGGAAGGAAGGAAGGAAGGAAGGAAGGAAGGAAGGAAGGAAGGAAAAGAGGAGGTGCTAGGTTGTAGTCCAGTGGTCTAGCACACTCAAGCACTGAGTTCAAAGCCTGGCACACTAAATGCTCTAAAAAAGGAAGACCCTAGAAATAGGATGAGACGGTGGTATCAGAGCCTTGGCCTCTATCCAGTCCATTTCATTATCAACAGTTTCTACTTTGCAATACAGGTTAAAAGACCTGTGGAATGTTTGTCCCCTCTGAAGCAGTAAGCCCAACACTGGGATTCCAGCCAAGGAAAAATTGTCAAAGAACAAAAAGCTGAACATCCATAGGTGTTCTTCCATAATATTTTATCAACAAAAAGTCAGAAACAGCTGGAAATGGCTAAACAAATTTTACAAAGTTACAAACATTACATTCACTGAAGTTTACATGAAGACATGCTGTGTCACAAGCCTGTGATCCTAACATTCAGGAAATAGGAGCAGGGGGGTCTAGTGTTCAAGGCCATCCTGGGCCATGATGAGACCCTGATTTCAAGAAAAAAAACAGAATGTCTAATGCTTGCCTAGTATGCACAGTGCCTTTTGCTTGATCTCCAGCATCAATGACATAAGCCAGTGTTGACAGTGAGCACCTGTAATCACAGCAGTACTTGGGAGGTACGTGCCGGAGAGTGCTGGAGAATCAGAAATTGAAGCCAGCTTGGAGTCCAGGAGACAGAGAAAGAGAGACAGAGAGGGTCAGAGACAGACACGGAGAGAGACAGAGACAGAGGACAGAGACAATAAGACAGAGAGACAGAGACAAAGACAGAGAGACAGGGACAGGGACAGAGACATAAAGACAGAGAAAGCGTGGAGAGAAAGCTTCCAGTGGAGCTGTAGAGTGCATGAGTAGGTAAGAGTGCTTATTTTTCTTACACAGGATTCACATCTGATTCCCAGCACTGGGGTGACTCATAACTGTTTATGATGCTACTTCCAGGGCATCTGACATGGCCTTCTAATCGCTTGAACACCAGGCATGCATGTGGCACACATGTATCCTTGCAGGCAAAACATTCATACACACAAAGATAAAAAGATAAATCTAAAAAATATTTTTAAAATATCTTTCAATAAAGGGGGCTGGAGAGATGGCTCAGAGGTTAAGAGCACTGACTACTCTTCCAGAGGTCCTGAGTTCAATTCCCAGCAACCACATGGTGGCTCACAACCATCTGTGATGAGATCTGGTACCTTCTTCTGGTGTGCAGATATACATGGAAGCAGAATGTTGTATACATAATAAATAAATAAATAAATAAAATCTTTTAAAAAATCTTTCAATAACATGTTTATACAATAATATATATGAAAATAAGCAAGAGTAAATTTTTACATATTATTCTATCATGATATGTTTTTAAAAATGAAGAGAATCTTCCAAATGCTAGCATTAGTTGTCTTTAGGTGGTAGGTTAATGAAATATATATTCTCCTTTCTTTTCTTTTTTCTTTTGTTTGTTAGTGACAGAGTCTCAGGATATAGCCCTAGCTAACATGAAATGGGCAATATAGACCAGATGGGCCTTGAACTCACAGACATCCTCCTGCCTCTGACTTCCAAATGCTGGGATTTAAGGCATGCATCTCTACCTCTTATTTGTGGAATTTGAATTTTCTATAATTAAAAACATTATTTTATTCAAGAAAGCATGTTATCAAATTCCTAAAGAACTGTCTACCAGCTCCCTGATGGAAGTCAGCCAGCTTTGGGTCGCCTATGTCAGGCCTACTTCCTCAGCCTATGAGAAACAGAGGTCCAGCCAGAGCTCTCTCACAAACCGACTCATTGGTAAGCACCAGTCACCTGTTCTATGAGATTAAATGAGAATGTGTTGAAAGTTCTTGCTGAGAGCTCACTCCATCTCCACAGGGGCTTAGTGGCAACCACTATGTGTGGGAGAATCATTTAATTTTAAACTTAACAGGCAAGAGAGGTCAAGGCAAAAGCCCTAAATGTATTTCCCTGAGATGATGCTGTTGGGTATTTCTGCTCTCTGGGGACACGTGGTAGACCTCTTAGGACAGGAATAAGAATCCATTCAGGAGTAAGAGGCCATTCATTGGAGTTCTCACTCTTCTTCAGGCAGCCAGTAGCTGATCATTAAAGGGATCCAGAGTTTGATTTTTTTCCTCTTCTAAATGAGTGACTACAGAAAGATAAAAATAACAGGCCAGAGAATAAGTTAGGACACAAACTGATGAATTCCTAGGCTTGGCTATGTCTGCTATCAGCTAATGGCCCAGAGATGTGAACCACTCTGGGACCCAGAACTATCCCAGCATTCCCTCTACAAACCAACTCTGTTGCCATTCTGAGCATCCCAGAACTTATTCTGGCCACCATTTTGTCTCCTAAACGTAGGGTGTAATCTGAATCCCATCAGCAGAATAGTATATGGAAGGCATGAGTACAAAATTTCCTTGAAATTACCCCAGTGAGAATTGTAAACAGGAAACAAACATGAAATATTCCAAGAGCCGGGCCTGGGCCTTGTCGTACTCTTACATCTTCTTGATGAAAGTGGAGAAAGTGGTAGGCTCTTCACAGGGCTGTGAGTGAGGCAGAGTTGTCTGCAGGGCTCAGCGGCTCCTTTCTGAAACTGTCTTTGTCTGCCTTCTTCCATCCAAAGCTGATAGTAAGGATAACTGTGAATACCAACCAACTCCATCACATAGTTAGCTGTACATTTGAGATCTGAAATGTCTATAGCAAGCAAAGGTAGCTGATGCCTGCTGTAGAAAATTGAGCACTAAGGACCAGGAAGTCACCTATGCAGAGGACCTCATGGCCTTTGTAAGATGTAAAACAACCAGCTGGACTGAGTATTACTGATGTTGCCCCACTTCCATTTAGAGGAGAAGAAATTGGAGCCTGGGGAGTTTAAACAAGGTTTTGGAGGTGAAAAAGACAGATAAGACAATTAGACTCTGATATAAAGCCCAACATTCTCTCCGTTTTGCTCTCTGGAAACAGAATTCGCATGTATCCCTGTCCTATGCTCAAGGCATACAGCTGGACACCAAACCACATGTTCAAAGAGCATCTTCTGCTGTACCCAGAAGTCAAAGTTTCTATCTTCAGTTTGATTTCCCAGTGCACCATGAAAGGCATCAGGCAAAAGATTGTCAGCTCCCACTGCCAGACAAGAGGATTGTTTGGGGACTTACTGACTCCTGGGTGAGCCTAAAGTCTCACTCCATAGCAGCCATGCCACTTTCATCAGGATCCAGGAGAGGGATCATAGGACAGCCAGGAGGAACAGAGCTGGGTAACAGTGTAGCATCCTTACTCCTGGTGCCAGCAGCTCTGACAAATGTACCTTCTGAAAGAGCCTTTGCAGACTCCAGTGTCCAACTTCTACCTTGGTAGATGTTGTCTTCCTGGTCCCCAGAGGTGCTACCATAAATGTCACTAGTACTTCTGGTCCCTACAATAGAAAGGAAATGGTGTCACTCCAAGATCCCAGTTGCAGAGAAGCCTCTCATAGGAAGCCCCTGCTCTCCCCAGTCCCCAGGA